CCTAGGTGGTGGGGATTCAAAATTGTACAAATGGTGGGGCTGACCCCCCAGGGGGCTGAGGGGCGGGGCAAAAAGGGGGCAATTTGGCTAAACTGCTTTAAGCAACTTCTTCTCTGGAACTAAGTGATGGATATCAACCATATTAGACTGGAAGGATCCCTAGGTTGTGGAGATTAAAAATTGTACAAATGGTGGGGCTGACCCCCCAGGGGGCTGAGGGGTGGGGCCAAAAAGGGTTATTTGTCTATATTGCTTTAAGCGACTTCTTCTCTGGAATAAGTGATGGATGTCAACCATATCAACCATATTAGACTGGAAACATCCCTAGGTGTTGGTGATTCAAAATTGTACAAATGGTGGGGCTGACCCCCCCAGAGGACTGAGGGGCGGGGCCGAAAAGGGGTAATTTGGCTATATTTCTACAAACGACTTCTTCTTTAGAAATAGGGCTTGATATCAATCATATTTAATCAAAAGCATATATGGGATGCAGGGATTCAAAATTGTACAAATGGTGGGGCTGACCTCTCAGGGGGCTAAGGGGCGGGACCAAAAAGGGTTATTTGGCTATATTGCTTTAAGCGACTTCTTCTCTGGAACTAAGTGATGGATATCAACCATATTAGACTGGAAGAATCCCTAGGTGGTGGGGATTCAAAATTGTACAAATGGTGGGGCTGACCCCCAGAGGGCTGAGGGCGGGGCCAAAAGGGGGCAATTGGGCTAGATTGCTATAAACAACTTCTTCTGTAGAATTATGCACTGGATATCGATCATATTTGGTTGGAAGCATTCATAGGAGGCAGGGATTCAAAATTGTACAAATGTTGGGGCTGACCCCCCAGGCTAAGGGGTGGGGCCAAAAAAAGTGTATTGCCTGGAAATGGTTGAGATCCCCACCATATAACCACATATAATATTGCTGAGTATAAAGAGAAGAATGCACATTTGCTTCCGGGATGGCCCTAGGGTCTGGCCCCACCCTTGGAAACATAGTCCTTGGGCCATAACTTAAAAACGGTAGAGATCCCCACCCCAAAACTATATATACAAATGCTGGGCATAAAGAGACGAATGCAGTCATGATATTAGAATAGACCCTGGGGTCTGACCGAACCCCTAGGGACCTAGTTTCTTAGTCACAGCTTGGAAACAGTTGAGATCCCCGACCTATAACCATATAGACAATTGCTGAGTATAAAGAGATGAATGCACATATGCTTCCAGGATGGCCTTGGGGACTGCCCCACCCTTGGAGACTTAACCCCTGGGTCATAACTTCGAAATGGTTAAGATCCCCACCCCAAAACTATATATACAATTGTTGGGCATAAAGAGACAAATGCAGTCATGATATTAGAATTGACCCCAGGGTTTGCCCCACCCTTGCAGACTTAACCCNTGGAAACAGTTGAGATCCCCATCCCATAACCATACATAAAATTGCTGGGCATGAAAAATCGATTACAGATATATATGCTACAAGGATTGGCCTTGGGGTCTGGTATATTCCCATGGATCTCATTTGGAGAATAGTCTGCCATGATTGCTTAGATATCCAGGTGAGCGATACAGGCCCTATGGGCCTCTTGTTGATATGTAGAAATGTTGCTTTTATGTAGATTGTCACATAACAGTCTTCCCAAGATTTCATATAGAAATCTGTAATGTTGTTTGATTTCAAATCCTTGAATACTCTATCACAAATGCTGCTCTTTCATACTAATATGTGCCCTTAATACCAGATATTTATTATTTTTACCTAGAAACAACCACTGCCAGGATAATGAACGAAAAAGAATACGAGTACACTCCTACCAAAAGTTTCTTCGATGCTCGCAAGAAGTTGATGAAGAACAGAGTTGTTGTAATTAAAGGGAACAGTGGAGATGGGAAGACATCCATTGCCCTTGAACTTCTCCGTCGGGTGTGCTATAATGAGGAGGGACAACAACGTCGACAGCCACTAGAACTGCATGATATCAAAGACTTGGATTATGTGACCCCAAAGTCACAATTAGTTATTTATTTAGATGATATTTTTGGGAAGAATGTTGTGTGTAAACAAGATGTGGAAGAATGGGAGAAAAGAGTAGAATCTGTCGTAGAATCAAAACTTTGTGGAAATGAGCATGCCGAGGGCAATTTTCTCATGATTACAATTCGCAGTGGAATTTTTAATTCTTTAGATAAATCTTGCTTGGAAAAAGTTTTTACTGAACAAAACATTGTTGACCTTAACATAGATGCAAAAGAAAAACTGGAATTGTTAAGTTTGTACAAACCAAAAGATAATTTTGTTTCATGGAAAGAAAGTGAAGAGAAGGAAATTGTCAAGTGTGCTCCTGACTTTGGGTTTCCACAATGCTGTAGGTTGTTCAGAGATTCACCTGCTTTGCAAACAGAGAGGGTCAATTTTTTTAAAAGACCTTTTCATTCTCTGAAATCTTCATTATCTAAATTGAAAGACGGAAAATGTTATGGTCTGATGTATTTGTTCCTTAATGGAGGGAAAGTCATGGAAGATGATTTAGACTCTCACAATAAAAATATTGATCAGAATGTATTAAAAGCAGCATTTAAAGATGATGTAGTGGAAGTTAACCCAACAACTGAGCTTGTTTACAATAAGGGGAGGAAAATAGAATTTGTGAAGAAGTCGTTAGATAGTCTGTTGGGTTGGCTGGTGAAAAAAGAGCCTAACGACGAACAAAGAGTTTGTTACCAATTCAATCATGACTCCATTGAGGAAACTCTGGCACTTTTGTATGGAGAAAAAACTCCCATTGGCTACATACAGAATTGTCCCTGCAGGTTTCTCAGTTATGTAACTACCTCAAAAACCACTCCAAACAAAGTAGTTATATCATCTGATAATCAGTACGATGCCATGTATGAACGTTTACTTGGAGAGTTTGAATCTGTCTATTCTACTATAACTTCATTTGATGTTTGGACAGATATTCAGTTTCTGCAGGGATTTATCAGATGGCTAAGTGGTCAGAATGTTGACAAAAACTTCAATGAAATAAAGCTTGCCTTGTTAAATGGAGCATGTTTTTCTGGTTCGGAAGAATGTGTTTTATTCCTCCTGTCGGAGGATGTGAAACCTGAGATAGAGACACTGTTTTATGTGGTAGAGGGAGGGAGAGTGAATATATTATACAAAGTGGAGGGAATTATACTTCAGTCCTTGTATAAAGATAAGTGTGAGACAGTAGAAGGTCGTGTGGTGCATAGAAATTGTGTGTTTGCTCAGGACATGTGTCAGTTAATGAATGAGAGGGGGAATACATTGTTACATTATAGTTGTTACCGGGGACACATGGAGGTTTGTAAAT